GGGGGGGGGGGGGGGGGGGGGGGGGGGATAAGACAAGGGTGCGTGTGTCGTAAAAATCACAGGATGGTAAAAAAATGCAAAATCCCACAAAATCGGAACATTGGTAAACTTGCGTACAAAGATATCAGCGCTTGAAGAGATCAAAGACTGGAAAAAATACGAGCACATTGGCTTCTTTTTATATCAAAATGATTCCGCGAAGCATATTTTGGGTTTAACAGTTCTTTTGCTGCTAGCATTGGCCATAGTTTGTGCTTCAGTCGTTGCAGTCTGGCTTTGTTGTTCAGTGAAGTCATTGACGTTTCCTGCCAGTTCGCTGAATTACAGTTTAAATTGATTTATGCGTTGAAACACTGTGTTTTTTTTGCGCATGGGTGATTTTGGCGTGGTTTTTTAACATTTTAGATCTTTGGAACAGATCTAGTAGTGCATGTACTGAAGCAGTCACTTGAAGAGCAGTATTCTTCCGCAATGAGCGAAGTGTCCGGGATTGTCGCTGCAGATACTGGGGAATTTTTGGACAATGAAATTCCTCCGAAAAAAGCCAAAGTAAGCATCTTCGTTTCACCGGAAAAAGCCAAGTATGAGTGAAAGTTTCTGTGTAGTTACCAGTTAAATCTCCTCATTGTATCCTAATTTCGAATTTGTTCGTGAAACCCTTGAAAAACTGCAGAAATAAACGAGCGTTTAAATTTTTGGCGGGAAAATTACTCATTGAACAGCTGGGTCATTTTCAAAATACGACTGCTAAACGGAAATCATTTTTCGTTTACGCAAAATTTACGATGATTTACGGTATTGAGCGTACAAGGGGTCTCAGCACATGCGAGATGAACAAGTCTCATATTGCTTATATTAAATATTCTAACACACACACTATCTCTTAATCCCTCGCACGTGTATTAGTAGATTCGAAATGGGATATTTTAGTCGGACCATCCTGCTCAGTTCCATTTATTAACTCCACCTTGGAATTTTGGATCTCGGTGTGCTTAGTGAATTTGAACTGCATAAATTTAGAAGCTTTGAAGTTACTAACCGCATCACTTCACCATCACGTATTGTTCATTGACTCATTGATATTTATGGATTTAATGAGTTATCGTTTAGATAGAGGATAATTCGGAGAGTTCAACAAGTGCGATAGCGGAGCATTACAATGCATTGCCCGATAAAGGCATCGATGAACGAACAGAAAGTCGCATTTTTTACCTTCGCAATTTCAATAATTGGATGAAAAGTATGCTCATCGGTGAGTAATTTCTGATTTTTTGTAGGGAAGTTTAACTCAAATTATGTTTCCTACGTTAAAATAATGCTTTTGCTTCACTCTGTCTGAGGGATGATGACATTTCGCTCACTTGCCTGAATGATAGTGGTATTTGGATTATCCGAAATGATAGCACTTTGCCAGTAGTAACGATTTTGATGATAACTCGATGATTTTTGCTCTCTCACTTTTGTGAGTTAAGAAAAATTGGAGAGAGTTTTGTCATCTTGCGATTTACCTAGCACCAATTTTTCATCGAAATTAAACAGCCAGCCATAGAGAAATTAGTTTTTGTAGCGGTGAAATCTCCCAGATTTATTCTGGTACTACCCAGCATATCCATAATAATTTTATGTGTTTATAATTACGGGATTCACTAAAATTTACCAATTTTGCTGTATTCACAAGTTATATA